CCCCTCACTCACTAATTTAATGTCTTTGCTTTCTCCGCCCCTCCCTCCCCCACTTCCCCCCCCTCGTGCGTGTGTCCTGTGTGGTGAGCAGATGCTGATCTCTCACGCGCGGCGAGGCCCCCTCGTGGTCACCGACAGACCCGCGGAACAGAGACGTGGCCGCCACGTGCCGCCAAACCCCGGACCGAGTCCTCCTTCACTTGAGTTGACAACTACAACAAACTCCGCTGTCACCACACCCACCTGTGTCGACAACTGCCTCAGAAGTTACTCCAACAGTAGAAGGACGTGAGCGTAGCTGGCTTCAGCCATCGCAGTCAGGATTAGCAGCAGCAGCGGCAGCAGCAGCAAGCATCACCACCTCCGTAACTACCAGCATCACCACCAAAGATTCTCCACTCCCTCACTCCCTCATTCACTCACCCACCGACAGATGCACAGCGAGCGCCCTAAAACTTTTACCTCCGTCGCTCTTGGAAGCAGGAGCGACGCATCACCGTAAATATACCTACCAGACACCATCACCCTTTCGAAGCAGTATCATCGTATCACCGTAAACTATCTACCACACGCCTTCATCCGCTTGAAGCAGTATCATCGCATCACGGCCATATATCTACCGGACGCCATCTCCCACTCGAAGCAGTATCATCACCAGCAGTAGGCGTTGGACACCGCCTTAACTTAACCATCACCGTCATAACGCCCTAACCACCTGTGTTGTCGCCTTCTGGAAATATAGCAGCACACCATTCCCATCACCACTCGAGAGGTAGTATCGGCATTTTCAATAGTGGAAGCAGTATCAGCAGCAGCATTGTCAGCAGCTGAAGCCATATCAGCAGCAGCAGAAGCACACAAGGAATATCGTCAGCATCAGCATCAGTATCGTCAGTATCAATAGCAGCATAAGTAGCAGCAGTTCAGCGTGTTGCAGTCAGCCGTCCTCGGTAGGAAGGCCGTGGCGGTGACGGTGACGTGCCGTGCCGTGTCGTGACGTGCCGTGACGGTGCCTTGCTGTGACGTGCCGTGACGTGCCGTGACAGTGACGTGACGTGACGTGCCGTGGAGATGGCCCCCCGCTTCTCCCTGCACAAGTGGCCTGCCCGCTGGTTAAGGAACCCCACTGCCCGCCGCTGTCTCCTGCTGCTCCTGGTGTTGGCGCTGCTGTGGGGGTTCACTTTGGTCAACGTGTCCCTGGTCACTGCGCCACAGAAGGATAGCGGCTTGCTCAAGGTGAGTGTGTGGGGGGTCGGAGGTAGTGGGTGGTCGGTGGTAGTGGATGGTCGGGTGGTGCTCTGGTGTGGTTTGCTCCTTTTTTCCTATCAAACATCTTTCGTCCTTACCTCTCCTCCTTCTTTTTTGTGTATGTTACTCTCTTGTAACACCTTTAATCTTCGGCACTTATTTGACATTACTTATAGTTGAGTCTATTTACTGAGGAGAACAGTCTTCTGATTATTTTTTTAATTTTTTTTTTTCAAGCCGAGAACCCGGTCTGTAAATTGTCAGACAGGATCTTCATAAGACGATGAGTTTTGTTTCGTTTAGTTGGAAGAGAGAGAAGCAAATGACGACACCATGATTTGTCGTCAACTGCTAGGGAAGGTAAAGTGGACTGAAAGATACAACAGAGGAACAGTTAGGAAGTAGAACCAACCAGCCGAACCCTTCAACTTCAACCTCTGGCTTAGGACAATGCCAATTATTAGTGATTATACTGTCAATTATGGTGGCGTCGATAGCCTACTTGTTAGGCTACCGGACTCGTAATCGTGAGATTGCGGGTTCGGGGGTTCGAGCCTCAGCTCGGTCCGACGTTGTGTCCTTGGGAAAGGCACTTTACACGTTAAACTAGGAGGTCCCGCCCCTTAAATAACCTAATAGTGTTGATAGGGGCGTTAAACCTATACCATTTCACCACTCAGAGCAATGCCAATTATTAGTGATCCTACTGTCAATGATGACGACGATTGTTGCGTGCTGCTCATCGCTTCCTCGGGATTACAAAGTTCTGTCTGACATTTTTGGCCGTTTTGAGTCACTGAGACTTTGAGGCCAGATACCAAATTATGATCTACCTGCTGTATCAAAATCGTAAGATTGCGCGGAGTCGTCATCAAGATATTCATGGAATTGCATTCGAAAAGGCTTGTTTGTTTTGTTTTTGTAAAGTGTTTTACGGCGCTCGCAACTGCATAGGTCATATGAGCGCGCGGGACACTCCTACCAGAAGATCAGGGGTGTGGCAGAAAGACAGCAGTAAGGAGGAGCCAAGGAGTAGCAGTAGAAAGGCTGCAGAAAGAGTCAGGAGCCCAGAGGAGGGGGC